TATCGAAATACAGATTGTTGAAATTTTTCAAAACATGGTAAGCATATATATACCGATTCTTCCAAAACAGTTGAAGGAGTAGGAGCCGCTGTGATAACAGATACCACCACTTACACTTATCGACTGCCGTCTTTCTCCAGTATCTACTCAGGAGAAGTATTTGCTATACTCAGCGCACTACAATACTGTCGTAGATCCGTTGGTGATCATGTCATTTTCACTGATTCTCTCAGTGCTGTCTTGGGCATCCAACAACTCTACCCGAAAAATGCTCTTCTTCTTCTCATTAAGACTGAACTGGGAAAGTTATTACAGGATGGTAAACACATTGAGATAGTTTGGATTCCTTCTCATATGGGAATAACGGGTAATGAAAGGGCCGATTCAGAAGCTCGAGAGGCCATTTCAAACCCCAACTGTCGAGAGATCCAACGAGTGCCCTATCAAGACGTTTATCTCCAAATCAAAGAGCTCATATGCGACAGATGGAGGCAAAGGTGGCAATCCCTATATAATAATAAACTCAGAGCCATAATTCCGAATCTAATCACTCAAAATTACCGAGCTCTCACCCGCAGACAGCAAAACTTACACGCCTGAAATTTACCCATCTACATCTCCTAAAGCATGAAGAGCCTCGCATTCGTGATACCTGCAGTGTGACGATGAGTCTTGAACATTTCATCTCTGATTGCCCAGCTTTCAATGAAGAAAGACAATTTTTCGGATTACCAAGCGACCTCACCAATGCATTGGATGTTACGAACTTTACTTTCCTTTATAGTTTTTTGGAAAATTTTGGCATCTCTAACAAAATTTAATGTACCTACTGTAACCGCTAATAACCCTAGTGGTTGATGCGGTGTTTTTCCTTAAACAAAAAATTAAATAAAAAAAAAAAGAATGTACGAAACATAAACCTCAAAATAGATAATGACTTGATCAAAGATGATGAATCTATTGCTGAAATATACAGCGAATACTTTGAAAACGTCACTTCCGAAACTATATCAAAAATTGTTATGCCCCCTCAAGTGAATTGTGACCATCCGATGAAGAAATTAGGTGATCATCATAATTCTATGTTTTTATATCCCTATACTGATAATGAAATGTTCCTTCTACTCAGTTGCAAATTGAAAAACAAATTCCCTTCTGGACATGATGAAGTGCCACTCTTTGTTATTAGAACTGCATTTTGGTTGAACCTCTTACGTTTCTTGTTAACCTTTCATTTCATACAGGAATCTTTCCAGAAAGATTGAAAATCGGTTAAGTAAATCCCATCTTCAAAAAGAAAAATTCATTTTTACCAGAGAACTACGGACCCATAACGGTGCCTTGTGGATTCTCCAATATGCATACCTAGATAGATTGCTTAATTTTCTCAAACAAGAGAAAATCCTATCAGAAAACAGCATGGTTTTGTGAATAATAAGCCAACCATGACTGCAGTTCATTCATTTTATAATAGAATCATAAAATGTATCGTCTCAAATAAGAAACATAAATATAGGGGTTCCACAGGGGTCCGTCTTGGGACCTGTATTATTCTTATTATATATCAATGATATTGA